TTTTGTGGAAACTGAAATACCTATTTTACAATTTATATGGAAATGGAAAAGTCTATAAATAGCCAAGAAAATCTTAAGGAATAAAATTGAAGAACTTATACATCAGACATCCATTCTTCTTTAAAAACTAAAAGTACTCACCCTGGCCAATGTGGCTCAGTGGGTGGAGCTTTAGCCACGCACAGAAGGGTCTTGAGTTCGATTCCTGGTCAAGGGCATGTATCTGGGTTGCAGGCTCAATCCCTCATGTGGAAGGCAACTAATCAATGTGTCTCTCTCACATTAATGTTTCTCTCTCTCTCTTCCCCTTCCCACCCTCCCTTCCACTTTCTCTAAAAATAAAAATCAATGGAAAAAATATCCTTGGGTAAAGATTAACAAACAAACAAAAAACTAAAAGAATTTAAGAGTACAGTATTGGTGGAAGAAGAGAAAAATTAACCAATGGAACAGAATAAAGTTCCCAGAAACAGACAACACATATGTGATCACCTGATTTAGGACAAAGATGCCACTGAAGTAAACTGAAAACGAAAAGTATTTTCAATAAACGGTACCGGGTCAATTAGGTTTTTCTATCCTTACACAACTTGGATATCTAATCAACTTCAACAGCTCAGGTATTATTTCAAATATCTGCTACTGTAGTTGAGTTCATTCTGCTGAGCTAAGCACTTTCCGATCCCATTGCCTCCTGGGCATCCCCACCATGACTCAAACGTGTCCAGACCAGACCTCACCTCCATTCCTCCTCCTCACTTATTCTTGTGGGTCCTGGCTCTGTGAGTGGTTCAGAGCAGCATATCAAACTAAAAGTTCTGGGAAAACGGGTATTGGCCCTTTGACAGTTATTTCCTCTCCCAGGACAATTATATTCTATCTGCAAAATAGGCTGGAATTGGTGAATTTTGTCAGAAATTCAGTTTAAGCAATAACTGAGTCAGGGCTTTTTCCCAGAACCCCACTGGCACGGCGTCAGGGCTGTCCAAAGGAAATCTTTCCCAGTTTTGCAAACCGACTTTACAGCAGCACTGCCTTGTTTCGTTGATTCAGAGATGCATTTCTTTACATCCTAGGATAAAACATACAGTGCAGGGCAAAAATAGGTTTACAGTTGTTCGTATGGAAAATAATATAATAATTAATAAATAATACTACAAGAATAAACTCTGTGTTTGACGTACTCACAACTGTAAACTACTTTTGCCCCACCCTGTAGAAACCAAACTTTAAGAAGTTTAAACAAACAAACAAACAAACATTGCCTCTTTGCAAACAGAGGAGTAAATTGTGGCACTGTTTCTACCAGGAATAATGAATTTTAAATTTGGTAATTATTTCTTACTTTAAGTGCACTATAGATAGAACATGAAAAAGAAAAGTTATCATGTACACAGAAGACAGATTATCATTGCCAAGCAATGCAACCACCAAAACATACGGAAGAGAGCACTGCATTTCAGAACGAGCAGAGGCGAGTGTGGCCGATCCATGGAACAGGACCCTCTTTCAGACACTGAACGTGCTCCTCTGATAAAATTTCTGGCTGGCTCTCAGGAGATGCTCTTTGAGTTCTAAGTACACAAAATCAATTAAAGCCAGTAAAAGTATGTCTTGTAGCCAGGTAAGAAATGTAGATGAAAGTGATATTCTTTAAAGGCCTCCGAATTGCCCTTTGACTCTAAAGGTGCTATAGAAGTAAACATCTGATCCATGTTATGACAAGCGACGTGCTACTATGATGCTACTAAACATGAGTAGAAAAGGTCAAAGTTATTCAGAGTATCCAGGTATGAAGTCAGCTTAGTGTGTCTGAGATGCAGAAGACAATGGTGGACAAATGTGTAATACTGTGAATAAGTCCAAATACTTCTGTATAAATTTATTCTAGTTTTCTAACAGACACACTTTCACCCCCAAGAGAACTGTCTCGCCTGCCACCCAGACAGAAGAATCCTTGTATGTTCCCATCGAGGCTAAGGAGATGGAGATGTGGAGCATGCCACTAGGAGACTGCTTACCCCTTTCTGGCATTTTACCTTCATCTTGGGACTGTCCCCACACCACTGGGGTGACTTTTGGGAGGCCTAGCAGACAAAAGTTTAGGCATAATTTGGACTTTGCAAAATCCCTATGTGCTGCGTTTCATTCTCTAATAGGTAATGTGCCTGTCCTGCTATCTGATGGGATCATGGTTAAGTCCTAATGAGGGAATATATGAGAAGGTCTTTTCCAAACTCGAACTACTATATAAATGCCAATTTTTACCAGTGTCATCATAAAAACATAATGATTTATAACACCAGATGTTAACACCAAACTCATCTTAAAGTATGCACACCGCACCAGAGCACATTTACAAAATCGAGTGCAAAGGCGTCCTCTGCTCCCTGATTTAACTGTCACACTGCTGGCTGGCTGACCCCGCTCTGCTCTGTGGGTTGCTCAGACCTTTCAGGACTTAGGTTCCATCTCAGGGCTTATTCTCAGGTTTTCAATAAAGTATCCAATGTTTCCCTGTTCTTAAAGCACCATCTATTCAAGGAGTCACTTTTTTTTAACTTACCTGGTCCAGTGATTTCTTATCAGTCTGAGGAATATGTATCTGTTGAGATCACAGCAATGGCCTCTCTTCCCAGAATCTTTTCTGACCCTCCCTGGGTCAGGCTTCTTAGCTGCTCTGTGCAGCAGGAGGCCCAACACATGACTTACCCCGTCTCAGCTGAGTATATGAGGGCATTGAAAAAAACCTGCTTTTTTTCTCTTTTGCAAGGAGGTCAACTATTTTGCAACACAAAAACTTGTTAAATTAAGTTAATCCATCAAATACTACAAATTTCACTGGAACACAGATTAGACAAATAGGTTTCTTTACAAGCCTGGAGAATTGTTTTTAGCCAAGACACCCCAAGACGGTACAGCTGGGGAGATCAGACCTTCCCCAGGAGTCCTGCAGTTAAATCTGGAGGCCTCTGCAAGGACATGAGGGGACAGCAGGAGGCCTGGGCTCCTGGCCCACCGATAAGAAAAGAAAAATCTCCTCCAGGCCAACCGAGAACCCTTCAAAAGCACAAAATTCTCCCAATATTTTTCCTTTTCCTATGCATAAAAATTAAACACATCCAATCACCAAATATCCCCATCCTAGACCTCACGAGAGACTCAACTCTGCTTTGACAGTCATCAAAGTTTGGGACAGTTTGGGATTTTGTTTTCCAAACTCACTGCTGGCCCCAGGGAAGTATGACACCACCGTCTTAAGCACAAGGCAGCTGTTCATTTTTGGCTGAAGTTCAATATAAACCTTACAAATGGTCTGCTAGCTCTCTTTTTAAAAATAATAATTAAAAATATTTTATAGTCACAAAACTCACCATCTAGTGTTTTCACTGTAAAGCTTTTCCTGCAGGACAGAGAAAACCATGTATTCTGACAAAGTTCTGAGCCAAAAAGGTACCAGGAGGCTATTTCCACCCGAAAAACATAATGGGGGCAAATAATTAGGCAGATGGAAAATCAACAGCGAAAGCAGTTCCGAAGACTCCCTGAACCCAATTCTCTCTGAAGCATCGAAAGAGGAAAATCTAGCAACAAATACTTTGCTTTTCAAAAGAGGCCCTCAACAGTTAAGTCATCGAATATACTTTTATTTAAGAGTGAAACTAAGACATCAAAAAAATCCCACTCCTTCTGAGATTTTGGTCTGTGATAAAGATACCATGATGGCTGTATTTTACTTATCACTTAACTATTCCAGCAAGAATTCACTACAACCATCAGTGTGTATTTCAGCACCATGATGTGTCCCCAAACCTGGCAAGTGTCCTTCCTTCTTTCTTCCTTCCCTCCTGAGAGATCTGAATATGTTTTAGGGCCAAATGTTGACAGTGCTCTCAACACTAAAATAAACCTCTTACTGGGCAAGTTACCATTTGTTATTATTTTAGTGTATGTACTTGCGACAGACCCACACACAGCTTTGTAACTTCAGGAGAAAGTGAAGTTACTCCTAAGCCGCTGGACAGTCTTGGGGAGTCGGTAGAGCTCCGAGACCAAGGGGAAGGAGGTCGCCGTGGGTTATGAGGCCGAAGCCGGCAAGTCCCTCAGAGTCTGCGAGTGCGGGGCTCGCTCTTGGCCTGGATTCTCTCCCTTTCGCCTCCGTCTTCACATCTGACCGCCAGGCTGTCTGTCCCGCGGGTTCCCCACGCACCCTGACACGTCCACGGCAAAGCTCGTCTCCTGTGCACCAGCGCTCCGCCCTCCCCAAACTGCTAAACTGACCCCCAAAACACTAAGCAAAATTCAAGGTCACTGGAGTGTCTTCTCTGTCCTGTAAGTTTGAATTAACTTCTGTAATCCTTCAGCCTGCAGCCCTTCCTCCAAATAGCACTCCATGGAAGTCTCTTTTTATTGCTAGGGAGCCCCAGGAAGGTACTTCATTGCAGTTCTTTTATACAATGATTAGGCCTCATTTCAGGAAATCAGAATCATGCAGACACAGAAAAAAGTCTATCATTCCCTGTATCCAAATGGTAATACATTTGACACACACACATATACACGGACACTCATTTGCTCAAGGACATAGCATATATAAAATATGCGTATTATATGTATATATTATATGCACAAATACTTGAATTAGTATCATTTGTAAGCATCCTTACATAATTTTCACGTGTGAATTTATTTTAGGCACCCTCACCCATCATTCAAAGTAGGGGCTAACCAACCATGGGCGACATTTTAATCCCAATGAGTCGTATGTTCTCCCATCACAAAGGATGCTTAGTAAACACCATCTGGAAAGTCTTCATTTAGAAAAGAAAACCATTTAGAAAGTCTTCAACTCAATAGCAAACGATCTTCCTGCTCGCTCATCACAGTCACGGGCAAGCCCTGAACCCAAAATCGCCTTCCACAGACATACTCGGGGTTAGAGGTGACAGGGTGAGAAACGGGGCCAGCCCCACCCTTTGGGCTTCCTTGAGCCCTCATACCTGTGCTGATGCTCCTGTAAGACTTGATAAATGCTGATAAGAAAAGTTTGGTTTTTAAAACTCCCCACAACACAGTCCTTGTAGATTCGGAATTCTGCAGCCGTCACCGCCTCGCCCTCAGGAATCTGGGACAAGTTGAACTTGAACTCTTTGTGGTGTCGCTGGCGAGGGGAGAACTCCTGGTCGTACTCCACTATAAGATTAAACAAGAGAGAGTGACAGCTATTGTTACTTGGCTAAGTGCCACAGGCTCACCTCAAAAGAAAGCCTCCCATTTCAATTCATAAGTGGATTACAGGTTACCAACGGCGTATTAGAGGGATTGGGGTGGTGGAGAGCCCACTGGCTAGGCTGTCAGGCGGAGTGGGATTCAAATCCTTCATTTTACCCAAGGATTAAACAAAGTCCTCAGATTTAATTCATTTAAATACTTTAAGTACTTAGTTTAACTAAGCTGCATGAAAGCAAGTTATTTCGACTCTTGGCTTCAGGTTTTCTCATCTGCAAAAACAGGGGTAAGCATGGCTTCACGGGAGGTTGTGAGAGTTGAGCAAACAGTAAGACCCTGTCTGGTGCTCCGGCCCTGATCCCCCGCAGCCCCCCCTTCCTGCGGCCTTGCCCCCCTCGTGCCGTCAGCAGTGGGCAGGCCCCGGGCAGCCCTGGGCCCGCCTGGGTGGGCTGGTGCTGCGGGGGGGCAGTGAGCGGCCTGGGCCCGGGCCTGGGCCCGGAGCTCCACGCGTCCTGCAGTTGTACCTGCCGCCCAGTGGGCGTTTTTGTTCACGGGTTGAGGGTAAAGCCTCATAGAAAATGCTGCTCTACTGAAGCTCGCTGCCCTCCCTGGGCCTGCGGCCTGAAGGACCCTGAGGGGACCCTGCACTGCGAAGGGCAAGTCACCGAGGGGCCTGCTCCCTGCCAATGCTTTGCTTCAGGCTGGGGGGGACTGGTCTGCAAGCTGCTGGTGGCTGTATTTTTAATGAAATCTTTTCCCTGCTTGAAGAGAAGCCAAATTATGAAAAACTACACCTACTAACGGTCATTTTGGGTCAGCTTTCAGGTGTCGATGTGAGAGAAGCGGTATCAGCCCCAGACGCTCAGTGTGCGTAACTGCTGTGCAGGGAAAAGCAGCTCTGCTCCCCCGGGGAGCCCTCCCGCTCCCCCAGAGGCTGGGCCGCCTCTGCCCTGCTGCTCGCTTAGTTTTGAATGGCAGCCGCAGCAAAGTCCCATGAGCAAATTAATCCTTTATGGCAAATTTTTCCCAGGGCTTGTGGGCAGAAAAAAATCAAATTATTAGCCACCTCCAACTGCCCACTTTCTCCCACATGTGGTGCTCTCCATAATCACCAGGGAAAAGCTTTGGTGATTTAGCTTCTTAAAAAAAAAAAAAAAAGCCAATAACTTCACATGAACCTAAGGCCTCGATGGCATCTGCGGAAGCTGAGGAGAGTGAAGCCATCTACAGGAATGAGGTTTTAAATAAAGAATTTCTGAAACTGCCATGTGACTATGCAACAAATCTTGTAGATTCAAGCTCTCTCTCTCTCTCTTTCCTTTTTCTTAATGTTAGGGGTTAAAAGAGGACAAGCTTTGGCTTATGTAAGAGCTTGAATATAAGTTTAAAAAGGTCTAACCAGAAAGTAAACCATAGTTTAGTCCCAACAAGAGAGCAGGTTTTCTAATTAGTGGCTAAGCATGAAAAGCAATATTGTCGGGGAGTTCACCCGAGGCCACCCACACATGATGGTGTATCACTTTCCCCTAAAACTGATCTGCCTTTTAAGTGTGATATGTTATCATCGGTGGTTAAAAAGTGAATCAACTCTGATTTCCCAAAGAGACTTTCTAAAAAAGAGTCACACGGCTTTTCTAAGGGCCTTTTGGCTGCATAAATTTTAATGTCACTAAATGAAAATGTATTTTTAAGATTCACTTAAGAGAGAATACTTAAAAATTCCTAGAATAAGTCTTTCCTTGCTCTTAATATAAACAATTAGAAAAAAATATATAGATGTGAAGATATAAGACAGTAAGTAACAAGATATTTCAGTTAAGGAGCAGAGAAAGGGACAGAAATGTCAATAAATGAGAAATGTGGTAGCTAGTCTTTGGAGAGGTGCACCACCCCCAACAAACCATACCTCCCTGTATTCATACCCTTGGGTGGTCTCCCTGCTCTTGTGTGGCTCTGGGCTGGCCCTGTGACCTTCTTTGGACCAACAAAATGCAGCAACAGTGGTGCTGAGCGACTTTCTAGGCTAGGGCATAAGTTTTACACTTCCTTCCACTTACGTTCTTGGAATGTCTGTGTGGGGAGAGATGGCTACAATGTAGAAAGTCCAGCTACTCTGGAACTTCCATGCTGTGAGGAAGCTCAAGCTAACCATGCAGAGAGGCTGTGTGACGCATGGAGAGACATAGGGAGGGAGGGAGGGAAGAGCCCAGTCAGTCCACAACAGCCTCAGTTGAGGCACCAGCCTTGTTATGACAGTGCCATCTGAGATGTCCAATCCAGTGGGACCTTTAGATGACTCATACCCCAGCCACCATTTGACTACAATTGCATGAGAGACTTTGAGAGACCTTGAGAGAGAACCGTCCAGTTGAACTTAGTCATTTCACAAGACTGTAGTAATAATACCTTATTGTTTATGCCACTTTGTCTGGGTGACTTGTTGCAACTAACACAAGAAAAAGAGAAGACAGGAGAGAATGAGAGGGAGATGAAGAAAAAGGGAAGTCTGCCCCTGCTGGAAGGGGGGGAATTCTTAAGGACCTGGATTTCGAAATGCTGGGAGGCAACACATACGATCAGAAGGGATCCTGGCAAATGCTTGCAGGATGTGAAGAGAGAGAGAAGGAACCTAAAAGTGAGAAAACAAGAACAGTGCAAAGCCTTAATTCTCTTACAGTGTGAATTAGAACTCATTGCCTTAGTGTGCATTGCCTCATTTCTCCTTTACCACAGCAATGTTACCCTGAAGCATGGAACTTTCTTCTGCTTTCTCTTTTTCCTTCTCTGAAGAGATTCATGGTCTTTTCAGCCCCTGAGTCTCTGATTGCTACTCAGCTACTTTTAGGTTCTTTCCCACCCAAAGCCTTTACTGCCTTCCACTGCCTTGCCCCTCTCTGTGACTTTTAGCTGGAAGTAGTAGCACCTTCCTTGCCCTCCCTGTGACACCTCAACCACCGGTCACTGGAGTTTGCTTGGAACCCCTCTTTTCTCCCCCAGTCTTTGGCGTCCGATTGAATTTACACAGTGCATTTTGTTAATGTCTTATAGGGTTACAAAAAAAATAAGCACAATTAGGTCACTTGCCTGCACCTGCATTTGAAGACCACAATGGTGAAATAGTCATATTTCCAAGGAGCTTAGCATTCCCCCTTCCAGATGTACAATGCTGAATTCCTTAAATCTCAGAGAGTTCGGAAGTTTGAGAGAGGGCCTCGTCCTGAATTCAGTGCTCACTACCTGTTTTGCAGCCTCCAGCATTTGGCTTTTCAACAGTGATGCCACGTGATAGATAATTAAGTAGTAGCTAGGAGTGTTGACAAATTGTCAAGCTGGTTTTGGATTCCACTTCCCTTTCCTCTTACTTATATGATGCTGAGTAAGATTAGTCAAATTTCCGGTTATCAGTTAAATGGGAATAATAACATTTCTGAAGATTAAGTATGACAATCTATACAAAATAGTCAGTGGTAGAGTGAGTGCTCAGTAAGTGTTCGCTGTAATTATCATTGGCTGGTATTTGAGAATCTGGCTCCTCCGAGCTTAGAGTATGTCACTGCTGACTAATTCAAATTTATTCATGAGTCTGTAGACAGCGCTGATTAATCCTTCTGCTAAATTAGCTTTTTAAATTAGAGATTCGTTCTGTGAAAATTGCAGTAAGTGAAATCACCATATTGAGTACCATCAGCCTTGGCGTTTGGCTACTGGATACAGTGCTGTGTTCTCCGAAGCAATAAATCCTAGAATTTGTCATTTCAAGGACTAGTGAAAAAATTTTTTAACTGGAATGACCTTACACAAGGTCACCTACTTTCTCTGTTTGCCACTGGTAAGTACAATAAAACAAGACAACAAACTATGTTCTTTTAACTCTATGATTCGATTTCTAAAGATCTGGTTAACACCAAATAAAAAAGGAAGGACATAATTGAAAAATACATATAATCCTTGAAATTGAATAAATTTAGCTTTATAAAACTCACTGTTCTCTCTTTTGCCTCAGACTAAACCATTTGAAATTTCAGACCCGGTCCAGACCTTTGGCCAACATGTACACTTCAAAATCGCTAAAGTGGTAAATTCTGTTATGCATATTATACCACAATAAAAAAACTAACAAAAAAATGGACATTTCTTACACAATCACAATGCATGATCATCCCTAAGTCAAAATAATTCTTCATTTTCCTCTAATACTCAATTGATAATCAATTTCCTCAAATACCTCAAAAACTCTTTCTCCATTTGGTTTATTGGAATCAAGAGCCAAACAGGGTTCACTCGTTACATTGGCTGCTCTGTCTCTTAAGTCTCTTCTAAACTAGCAAACCAGGAATAGAAAGAACTCCATTAATCTGATGATGAATCTACATAAAAGCCCTACAGCTGACAATATACTTAATGGTGATACATTCAAACCACTTCCTTTAAAATCAGGAAAAGGTGAGATGCTCATTTTCAGGCTCAGATTTGAGTCCAGTTCAGTACTATGAAGATTAAATAACAAAAAGGGAAGACACACGTTACAAACTGTTGGACCCAATAAGAAAGCTTAGCAGATTACCTCCCCGACTGTCTCATTGAGTTCAGGCTGTTATAACAAAAATATTACAGACCAGGTGACTTAAACAGAAGACATTTATTTCTCACGGCTCTGGAGGCTGGAAGTCCTGCGTGATCAGGGTGCCAGCCTGGTCAGGTCCGTGGCGAGGGCCCTCCTCCTTGCTATGCCCCACAGAGCCTCCCTTGGTACACGTGTGAAAGAGCGTGAGCTCTAGTCTCCCTCTTCCGATGAGGATGCTGATTCCACCATGGGGCTCCCACCCTCATTACGTCATCTCAACCTAATTACCTCCCAAAGGCCCACCTCCTAATACCATCTCATTGGGGATTCAAGTTCCAACACTATGAATTATGGCGGGACACGAACACACAGTCCGTCCCATTGACCTCAAGGTGTCACATCATTTGTTCTGCTACATTTGATTTTATGGTTTGGAATTTTTGTGTCTGTGTTCATAAGTGACACTGGTGACGGCCCCACCTCATACAGTGTTAATTTGGTTTTAAGTTATACTTGCCTTTGGAATAAGTTCCTTTGGAGAAAAATTTTAATTACTCATTCATTCGTTTTCCTTTAAACATATGAAGATATTCAAGCTATCGATTTTATTTATTTATTACTGTTGACACAATTACAGGTGTTCCCCATTTCCCCCCCACTTGTCCGCCTCCACCCAGCCCCTGCCCTGCCCCTCTGGCCTTCGCCACACTGCTGTCTGCGTCCATGAGTTATGCATATAAGTCAGTGTCCATTTTCTAGAGGTTTGTCAATTTGGGTTAAACTTTTCAAATTCATCACTATATGTTTTTTTCAGAGTATTCTATTTTTTAATCTCTGTTTTACCTGTGGCTTTTAACTCTAATACCGTTTATTTGTGGGTTCCTTCTTCCATGATTCTTCTTATTGGAGGTCATTTTCTTCCCCCCTTCTCGCTCCTGCTTAATTTGATTGTAATAAAGATATTTTAGCCCGGCCGGGCGTGGCTCAGCGGTTGAGCGTCGACCTAGGATCCAGGCGATCAGGGTTCGATTCCCGGTCCGGGCACATGCCCGGGTTGCGGGCTAGCCGATCAGTGGCTCTCATCATTGATGTTTCTATCTCTGTCTCTCCCTCTCCTTTCCTCTCAAATCAATAAAGATATATTTTTTAAAAAAAGATATTTTAATAGAGTTATTTTCTGAATATCCTCCCACAAAGTCTGAATTATTTCAATTAAAGTTGTCTGAAGAAAAATAAAGATGCCA